CAAAGGTAACTTTTAACTTTAGGCATTGTAAAAATAACAAATAATCACTGTGCTTGTAACAGGAAACTGAAGGCATCAAATATATATCATAGTGTAAGTTACAAGGCAAGACACTGAACAAGTGTCTGCCAATAAAGCTGCATAAAGGATGTTAAAAGTGCAGATGGAGGGGTCATTTTAGTTTGACTTTTCACATCTTGCTTTTCTGCAGTACAAAAAATTTTATAGGTAAGTACAGAACACTAGTGCACTAAAATCTGAGAGAAAGTGAAGATTTCTCTTGCTAGTTATCATGCCATTCAATTAAGATATGATACCTTTTAACCATTGGAGTAATGTTACTCATTCCTTCCTAACATGCTGAAAAGGCATGGACTGTATTACATGACAGTAATTTTCTTTGTTTAAATAGCCCCTTGTGTGTGCTCACAGCCAGATAATTTTGCCTCAGTATGTTGCTTAGTCCCTCTACTTGCAATGGCTTGGAAGAGATTCTGCCTTTTGTTTCATTGCCTTGTGCTGAAATACACTGCTGTGCTTGCCTTCAGAATAGTTGTAGCCAGAAGTAAAATGAGACAAAAAAAACCAAAAAAAACAAAAAAAACCAAAAAAAACAAACCCAAAAAAACCCCAAAAAAACCACTGATGAAACTGTACTGTGATAAAATTTAGTTCATCCCCTCCTCAAAAGCAGGGTCAAAAGTACCTTAAATCATTCCTTGACAGAGGGGAATTCATCTTTCCAAGAGGTTCTTTCAACACCAAAGAAAAAGATTCTGGGTCTGCCTACAGTAAGACAGTATCCTTTTTGCTTTGCCAAGCCACATACCAGCAGGAGTTTGACTTTATCTTCCTTGAAAAATGGAGTTGTCAGCAGAGGTTGATTGTTTATGATGGGTTGTACAGGTAGTAACATCAGATAGCTTCCAGGCGAGCATACTGCTTGAACTATATGAACATCAATAAGACACAGCAAAAATGAAAAGTATGTCTGGAAGTTTCCTTTTAGTGCCAGCCAGCCAGTGTTACAAAACCATTCCACAGCTGTGCCTCTTGTTACCAGGAAAGCAGGTTGGTCCTTTCCGTTGCAGACTGCCAAAAGCTGCTCTTGGGTTAACGAGTAAGATTTAAGACTTGTTCAGATCTTTCTTTAGTCTTAAAGAAAGTGCAATCCTATCCCTTTATGTAACAATGATTCTAGGTTTGTGCTCCAAACTCAGTGATGGATGCCAGTACATGGATTTTATGTAGCCAGTGGGACTGCCATGTCAAAGCTGTCAAGTGCATACAAAGAGTAACTATACCTATGAGTATGATCTTGGAACAGGGCAGATATTTTCTTTTTCTTTTTTTTTTTTCTTTTTTTTTTTTTTTTTTTTTTACCCCTGGAGTATCTGAAGATCTCTAGGAAACACAGCATATATTTTTATATATAGTTGCACTACCACTTCATTGTTTATCTGTGATATAAAATTTAAAGCTGCATTCACCTCAGCCCTTTCAAATTATACTAAGCAGCCATGTGTACAACTATATCTCTTTTAAAACCCAACTCAGATGTTGCAAATTTTGGTTAGGTAGTACTTCTAGACACGTCTCTACTTTGATGCTCATGTAATTCTTTTATTTCATTTTTTGATTGAGTCCCTGCCAAGTGCTACAATTTCTGAACCAGAAGAAAAGATATCTTCAGGTTAAAATGTCACTGTGCCCATCAGTCACACTTCAATGCATAGCCATAGTTCACAAGTTATTCAGCAGTGAAATGAATAAATCCAGTCTAGAACTTTCCTTCAAGTTCCTTGAGGTCTGAGACTAGAGTGACTGGGGGCATGAATTTCATCTCCTTTTAAAAAGACTTTATTTCACAAATATACAGTAATGAAATTCAGGAATACAAGGATGGGCAATAAAGCAATCGATCTGGTGTCAGCACCACAGCAAACATCAACTTGTGTTTCTAACACTGTGAGCGTCTCGTTGGCAGCTGCACACCTTGTCCAGTGAGATACAGCTACAGGTTTGGGCTGACAATGAAGTGTGAGGCATACAAAATTTTAATAGCTGACAATACCCACAGCTACCAAAAAAAAAGGTTTCGTATATGCTTGGACAATTAACTCCTAAAAGATGGAAAGCTCTGGGTTCAATGAATAAAGAGTATGCAGGGTATAGACAACAACAGTGCTCTGGTCTGTGACTCAGATGATGTTACAGCATTGTCTTCAGTACTGCCTTGAGCTCTGTCTTCAGAGATGCTACTTTTCTCTTTTATTATCCCAAACCTGAATGCGTCCCCTTTCACTTTTTTTTCCCTACACTCTAAAACTACTATGATGCAAATCTGTTTTTTGTAATTTAAACAGTTACAGGATTTTACAACTGTAATTTGGGCATCTCATACAAATAATGATGTTTTTTAGAATCTTTCACAACAGACTTACATCTCAAATGTAGATGTTTGGATTAAACAGATGTTTAAAAAATGAAGAGGCAAAAGTGAAACCAGCATGACTAAAATATATTTTTTTTGGGAGCTCATGTAGAATCTTTTCTTTTTTATGGTTATGATGTTAACGCCCACCTAGCTTTAACCACTAAACACAAAAACCCCAAAAGATTCATGTCTGCCTGTTTATACAGTAAGGCATAAGCACAATTCCCCTTTATATACATATATTGCTATTGTTTTAAAAGATTTTGCTGTTCACATTTCCTCTTTATATTCCTACCATTTTTAAGTCCATATTTAAGGTTAACATTTAGTCCTCTGAGGAAAAAAAAATATGCTTCATAAAAGTGTTCATAATCCTCATTTGCCCACATCAATCAAGTTTAATTGCTCAGTTAAATTGCCTAGTTACCTCAATTTAGAGACATTTAGACGTTTCTATCATTTCCCCTCACACCAATCCTCAACTTTAATAATAAAAGGCTGCTCTTTCATGCCTCTTGGCTAATTGTTCAGTTAAAAGAGTGTGAGCAGTTCTGGCATTTGAAAGATGTGTGAAAGGCCACTTGTGAATGGCTTAGGAACGCAAAATCAATGACATTTATACATTATGTGTTGTTTCTATGCTTTACAACAGAAAGTGTAATAAAGGACAAATAGGTGGAAGAACAACTTTAAAAAATAATGTACATTTTTTATCTTTCTGACTCCTGTTGGAACTGTCCAACTAGACCATTTCTGGTCCAACTAGACCATTTTTTAACTGTCTCTCAGCAAACTTGTCCTACAGGAATATTAATTTCCCCATCAGTCCCTCTGAAGTCAACAGCTGGTACTCTAACTCTGCAGTAGAAAAAATGGGGGGCTTATGAAGTTTAATGTCAAAATTCACAGTGACAACGAGAGACTGTAGGATCACCTCAGGATCATATGCTTTATCTTTGAACAAAAAGATCCCCATTACCCTGACCACCCCCAGCAGACTGTGAAAGAGGACAGTGTGTGGAGGACTGCTGTCTTTCAATTTGTTGTCTTTTTTTCATCCTTGACTCCATGTTTCATACCTGTTTGTTTTTTGGGGTTTTTTTCCCCTTCACTGTCTCATCTTCTGTTTTTGCTTTTGCTCTCTTTAGGTAAATTTTCTCCCAATTCTTATCCTCTACTTCCATTTAATGTCATTTCCCCCTCCTTTCCATCTTGATTCCTCTTTGTAAGTTTCCGTTCCTTCTATCTCTGTCTTTCTAGTTCTTTCTCTTACTCTCTTCTGTTTTGGTATCTTTCCTTACCCTCTTATCTTCCTTCTCTACTTCTCGTCTCTGAGGACCCTCTGCCTTTGGCCTTTTCCTGTAGATTGGGCTCATTGGTACCTTTCATGCATGCTGATTATATTGGCTGGAGTTCTATGAGTATTACACCAGCTGAGTAGCTCTTCATTTGAATCATGCCTTGCAGCCATTTAGCAGGAAAGGAATGTTGCATCCAACTTTGACTGACAGCTGACTGGCAGGCAAGAAAAGCAGCCACCATCTCTCATGGGAATGATCAGAAGCTTGCAGAGGGAGATAAAATGTCAAACCACCGTGATATGCAGCCTTTGCTAAGAGGCTTGAGAGATCAAACTAGATCAGATACAACCCCATTTTTGTTTGGAAAACCAAGCTGTATTGTTTCTGCTTTGAATGTCATCATCAGTAGCACAATTTCTACATTCTGCAAGACATATTCCTATAGACTATGGCACCTTGGGCAGTATAGACTCTCTTTAGGCTCTTAACACAGGTGCATTAGCTCTACAGCTCACATAAAATCTGTTACCTACAGGGGGGTCTGCTGCTCAGGGAGGCAGATGTTCTCAGAGTTAAGCTGTGACTTTTTGTTTTGATTTTTTTTTTTTACCCTTTCCCAACTGACATCATGCTGTCAATTCTAGGAATTTTCAGCTGCCTGTGCTTCTTAGTGTATATGCACAATGTGCTTCAACCATGCTTAGTAGTAGCATTGCTGGTGGTGTGAAGATCATATCACACAGTCCTCAGTGGCACCACGAAACCTCATCAGAAAGTGGCTGTAGCATTGTTGTGTGCAGTGGGTAATAAAAAGGGAAATAATTACCTTTCTCTGGGTAGAGAGATTCCTCACCAAAAATGTAGGTACTGTGAAAGCTAACTTAGCTCTAAAACCTCTCCTGGTTTATATAGTTTGACTGCAGCAAAATTAGAGAGCACAAGGGAAAACACATATCCCAGTTTAAAGCTAAAAATCTAGCCTATAATTAAGCTGCATTATTTCCAGACACAGAATAAAATGCAAAATCTTTAATAGAATTGCCAGTGATTTGCCATGGGACTTCCTGGTTAAATGAAGACTTGTTGATTACATTCTGAAGCTGAAGTGCACTAACCTTTCCAGTGAATTACTCCTCAGCAGAAGCTGGGCACACAGGATCACGAACTAAAAGTTGTAGCAGGCATTGTTCTTCCCTACTTGCTACTGCTGGCTTTCCAGTGCTTCTAAAATCAAAACATAGATGCATACGAAAGAAACTTACCTTGCCAACATATTGGTAGTCAGTTCCTGTGTATTCCTCCAATAAAAAGAACTGATTCCACATCCAGCTCCTTTTGGAACGATGGAGGTCTTGCCTGCTGTTTCCAGACAACACCAAAACCTTTTCCTTGTCTGGAAAGCCACTAGTCCTTTTGGATAACGGAGTTAAGAAACTTTGGTGGGGCTGACCAGCCCAAAACAGCAGCCAGAAGCAGTGGTAAGTTCTCATCACGGCAACACAAGTAGGTCTAAATAATGATTTTTTGTCTTGTCCTCAAATTAACCTACTTTACTGCACTAAATCCAATCTCATGCCGTCTTCCTTCTTTAAATAGTCTCTGCAGTCTCAAAGGATCTCTGAAAAGAAAAATAACAACTCTTTTAGCATTTCCAAAGGTACTTAACTGTCATCACTGCAGCAATAATTCCGCAAAGCAGACGAGTAATAATGATTGATGAAAACCTGGGCTGTTTCTGATTCAAAATGTTGCAAATTATCTGAGTGGATCCATATCGAGTATGGGGAAGGAGTCATGATGTTTGGATTCAGGGTGTGTGTGGGTCCCCTTTAACCCCATTTGCTTCCCTTCATCAATAAAGGCAAGCCAGATATTTCTCTTTTTACTGCCTGAACTTCGGGATGTAACTGATTACTTTCTGACTGGAGATCTTGATGAGGTTACCATATTACATTAAAGAAGTGCTAGCAAACCTGCACACTGTCTTCGCAGGAGACATTCTGTTGCTACAGTTATGGACTGAAGAGACTGGACTTCAGGATTTTTCCCTCACATTTAGGGAGTTTTGCCTTTGACTCCATTTAGAAAGGAGTCAACCCAGCTTAAGAAGTTAGTGAAATAAATGTGTGCATTTATCAATATCTCACACATATTAGACCTGCTTGTTATTGCATAGGAAATTAAGTGGACACTTTGGTTTTCTCATTATCTACTGCCAGAGTTTTGAATCTTTAAATACATAGTTATGTATGTAACTGCTTTCACTAATAACTTCTAAAAATCGAAAACAAACCACAGCTAGTTCATTGCTACCTGTGGGTTTTTACTAGCTACTGCTTCCTACTCTTACAATACTAAATATCAGTGCACCTACAAAATAATTATGAAAATTATCTCTATCTCTGAATACCACATAATTTTCAACATGCAAAAAGCTACAGATACTGCGAGTACCCAGAGTACTGTGGACGCCTCTTCTGTTTTTGGAAAAGCTGAAAGCTTCTGTTCAAAAAGAAGAAAATATACTGTGTCTCAGGTAACCAGTCATACAAAATGCCTAATGAACAGCTTTGGTACATTTTAGAATGTGAAGAAATCAGAATTAGTTGACAGAAACATTCCACAACATATATTTTTGTTGTAAACACCTCATTGAATTTTTAGTTCAAACAGATCTACAACCTCAGAGAAGGATAATTTGATTAATTTTAATTTTCTTTCTCACTGATGCTCTTTGAAAAAAAAGTTAGGGTATTTTTTCACCATTCTGATCAAAACCCAATAAATCATTCTGAACCAGCTCAAGATTCAGTACAGCATCTCTCAGTATTTGTAAATAAAGACTGTGGAATGACAATCTGACTATACGAAATTGAAGGAAAAATTTTTGTTTGTTTCATTGTGCTTTGTGAAACACTACTTGGATCATGTTCTACATCAAAGACAATTTTTTCACCTATAGTATGTTTTTGTCTATTTAAAGGTGTACACTAGACAGAATTTAGCCTTTGAGCTATGCTGAAGGAGTTACAGCACCTGCAATGCCTCGGGTTAGCTACTCTTCTGGCTGTCATTGTTCTTGGTAATAAATTGTATGAAATAACCTCAAGTCTCTCAGAGTTCCTGTTAGTAAATAATTTTATATAAAGAAATACCACTTAGATTTTATATGAATAGTAAGTAATGGAACAGGACTGTTCAAACACTATCATTTTACTTTTCAAAAGGTAAAATACTGTTAAGAGGTAACTTCTGTGTGAGAAAGCGTAAGATTTTTAGCATTAAGAGGAAGAATGTAAATAGTACAATTAATTCTGAAACAGTGTAATTTCTTCTGGAGAAGAGGGAAGGGTTGTAGTCAGCTTTCTTATTAGCCAAGGAAAGACAACTGTCCTGCAGGTCATGGGAGCTTGAGAGTTTGTGAGAGAGACACAGACCCCTGGGTTTATTCACACATACATGTAACCACAGACACAGAGAGAACAGCAAGAACAGAGCTGCATTCACCACAAGACCTTCCCAGAGGATGAACAGGGAAAGCTGGCATAACTAAGCTTCACAATGTGTTCAACAATTGCTTTCAGTGCAACTGGTGGAGCAGTGGCAAGCTAGTGTGCAGGTTGCTAGAGCAGGACACAGGCAGCAGATTTGGCAGATTCAGGCACCAGGATAGGAAGAGCTGAGGCAGCTTTAACCCTCTCCATGTCTATAGTCTCTCTTCTCCTCCTTCTGCACCCTTCTGACCCATGTAAGGACTTGTCCTTTATGACTCCACCAACATCAGTTATTACCCTGGCTCTCACTGGATTGTATTCAAGTGGACATCTTCCTTCATGTGGTATGGAAGAGGAAATTGCATCTCACACAACATTTTTGAGTTCCATTTTCTTGCCAGGTTGCTCTGGGGGGACATTGGGACCTGCCCAGGTGAGTTAAGTACTGTCCCAAGCAGGGGCAGACCTGGTGAGCTGCCATGTATCAGGATGGACATATCAGGATGATCTGTGTTTGGAGAGATGTGTTTCGAAAGATGTAGGGAGTGCAGTACATGAACAAACCTACTGCTTTGCTATTAGGGAGGTCTGCATGGATTTTTGAGGCATGAGAAAGTGAAAATCATCACCTCTCCTCTATGAAAATCATCATCTGGCTCCTCTATGGCCGGATCCTGTGGTAGGGCTCCAGACTTCTGCTCCTGCACATAACGTTTCCAGAGAAGTGCTACCTGGACCAGCATTACCTAGATGGGATTTGTGCCAGCCTTTTAAAGGATCAGTCCTTCAAACACCAATTGCCAGGAAACAATTATTCCTGTGGGAGAATTTTCTGCACTTGAAGTCAGTTATATTTCACAGCTCTGATGTCATGGGAAAGGTTTTATAGTGGCTCATGCTGAATTATAGCTTACAAGAATGATATCATAGCTGTGAAATACAGCCCTTTACTCTTCCCTGCAGAGATGTGTCCAAAATGCTGAAATAAGGGCACGATCCTGTAATGTCCTTCTTGACTGCACAGCCCTCATGATGCAGCAAAGCAACTAAGCCCCATCAGCTTCCCTGTGAGTGGCAAGAGAGGAGACACACCTTTACAGATCCTGGCTTAAGCGTGCAACTGGGGTAAGTACCAACTGAATCCAGGGTGTCTCTCCGCTATGGGTGCCAATTACTCTTTTATGGGTCATAGAGGTAAATTTAGTAGAGTGAATAAAAAGGACAGAGCACTACACTCTGAGCCGAGCCTTCAGTAGAGTGAGCTCTCGTGGCTCTTAAATGCCATTTTGTGCTCCAGTCCCAGTCAGTGTCTCAGCTCCAGAGAGGTCTCTGCAATGGAATAATTTTTCTTGTGCAATCTCTCTTCATTTTGAAAACAAGTCATTCACCAGGGAGATTTTATTTTCTTTAAGTGTAGATGTGCAAATATAACTGATGGGACCTGGGGATGGGGGCTAAAATTTTTTCTTCACATTGTACAAAGTCAGGTAAAAAGAGGCACTTTAAACATGGCATTTCTCTCAACATCAGTTGGTCAGGTGGCTGGGAAACTTGCTGTGTAATCAACTGTCAAGAGTGAAAAACAATTTTAGTGTGCAACAGCCTCAGACAACTGGCTTAGCTCTGCCAGCTCTAATGTATAGCAAATCTGGGCTTTTTTACCAGAAAAGAAGGAATGTGCACATCCAAGCTTAAAAAATATCCCAGTTTAACTTTAGCTATGGTAATAGTTAAGATAAAAGCAATGTCACTTGCAGCCACAGGACCTTCTTCAGTGTGACAAATTGCAAATCTGAAGTTTATGATCATGTCTTCTTGAAAAATTTAAACCTCAGACAATTGCTTAATCACTACAAGTATCAATTTCAAAATTATTTCCCCCAGGTGATAGTAGTCATAGTCAGCCTTTCTATTCACCCTCTCGAACACTTCATTAATGTAATGTCTTAATGTGAGAACTCAGTGCAAATTTACATCCTTGCAGAGCAATATCCAAATATTTCAACTATATATCAAAAAGGAAATGCATCCATTGGAGTTACTCCTATGAATCAGGCAGCCCTGCCCTGGAGGTGCCTTTCTGGTATAGTGACAGGCATCAGTTACAGATTCCTGATATGAGGAGCCCCAAAGAGTTTCCACCTCTGCTCCTGCTCAGCTCTGTGGGTTGTAATGGTCTTCCCAGCTGGTTGTTAAATAAACCAGACTGGCAAAGAGCCTTCCCATGAGAGGCATCAGCAAGGAGAGGGAAAACAGCTTTTCCTCATTCCTTTCTGTTCAACCCCATAGTAGTCACTCCATCAGAAAATCCTCAAAGGAATATTCTTTATAAAGCATACTAGAGTCTGGACTTTAGGATAATTTATTTTCTGAACCCATGCATTCAATGATGCTTCTGTATGAATTTATACAGCCTGGATGTTATGGGCTGCTGATAATTAGATTTTAAGCTTCTAAATAGGCTAGCTACCATCGGCGTCTCTAAAGTTTCTGATACAACCTTTATTCAAACAGAAGTGCCAGTTTAATAGAGCCTTTATTCCCTGCTCATCAAGGTACAGTTTCACTGTTTGAGGGCCACATACAAAGCTTCACAGGTTTGGATTAAGGTCCATTAGTACATTGGAAAGAACATCAACTCTGTTTTGAAGAACTGATAATGTACTGCTATTCTCACAGAGAAACCGAATGAGCAGGTGAAAGTTAATATGCACTTTGGCATTGCATATAGGAAACTGAGCATGGGACATGTTTTAGGGCTTGAGGCATGTTAATTTATTTATTTATTTATTTATGTGAGAAAACAAATTGCCTCTATCCTTATGGAGTTTGCTTAATTTCTTAGAGAAAATGCACAAAGACAGAGAATAGACTCTAGTCTCTCAATCTAGCAGATTACACTATGAATGCACAAGTATATGTACATTTACTGCCCCCAAATCAGGTCTAATTTAGAGTTGTTGCTAGAAAGATACAAACTACTCCCTGGCTTCATCATCATATGAAGTGTTTACCAGCAGTATCTTCGGAAGAAAAGAAGGGTCCTACCCCGAAAGTTCTAATTTATACTTAATTTTGTAGATGACATGAGAACACATTAAAAATATTCTGACATCATTTTCCA